GGAGGACAATGTTTGGAAGAAGATGAATAGTAGGGCTTGTGGAGTTATTCGGTCATGCTTGACGTCGGATCTTATTTATGACGTAAGAGAATGTGGGAAACACTCAATGAGAAGTATCTTACGAAGAGCATTGAGAATCGGCTTCACTTGAAGAAGAGGTTTTACCAATTCAAGATGAAGATGGGAGTTTCCATCAGGGAGCATGTTAACAATTTCATGAAGCTATTTTCAGATATGGCCAATGTGGATATCATGGTTGAGGATGAAGATAAGGCAATATTACTTTTGTGTTCATTGCCCGAGGATGATTATGGTACGTTCATTCTCACTATGATCAATGGAAGAACTACTATTAGCTATAAGGAGGTGACCTCAGCTTTGGTGAATTATGAGTTGAGGAAGAGTGACGGTGAACCCTCCGAGAAGGCATTGGGAGATGCATTAGCAGTTCGAGGCCGTGATCCAAACCGCCGCCAGTTTAATCGCTTAAAATCAAAGAATAGAGGTGGCCATAAGAGTATTGGTAGGAATCAATATCGCTTTTATAAAGAAGAGGGACATTGGAAGATCGACTGCCCAAAGTTGAAGGACAAAGCCGGGAAGAACAAGGGGAAAGATGTACAAGCTTCAGAAGTGAATGTTACAAAAGCTATTAATGAACATTCAAAGTCAGATTCTTCAGGCTATTCATGCCCTGCACTACCGTCGGTTTGTTATGCCGACTCCATGGAGTGGATGTTGGATTCAGGAGCCACATATCACATATGTCCTAGGAGTGATTGGTTCTCTAGCTTTGAGGAGCTGGAAAGAGGGGATGTCATGCTTATGGGAAATGACCATGTATACCCTATTGGTGGTATTAGTTCAGTCCATATTAGGATCCATGACGGATTGGTGAGGGAACTGAAAGAAGTGAGGTTCGTGCCGCAGTTGACGAAGAACATCATTTCTCTTGGTACTTGGAGGCAGCCGGTTATCGGGTGACCTTAGAGGATGCTACAGCAAAGGTCACGAAGGGTTCTATGGTGGTGATGCGAGGAGTTAGGAAAAACTTCTAATACTAATTGAAGGGCAAGATAGTTACATGGGGTTTGGCAGCTTCTATCACTACAGAGAAGGACACTACCATATTATGACACATGAGACTAGGACACACAGGAGATAAGTCCCTATAGTCATTGGCGAAACAGTGGCTATTAAAAGGTGCTAAGACCTGTAAGATGGAGCTGTGTGAGCATTGTGTACTTGGGAAGAAGACTAGAGTGAAGTTTAGCACCGCTATTCACAACACCCAATGTACATTGGATTACATTCACACAGATGTTTGGGGTCCTTCTAAGAACACATCACTTGGTGGGACCAACTATTTTGTCACTTTCATTGATGACTATTCCAGGAGGAATTGGGTACCCTATAAAGCATAAACATGAGGTCATAGATATTTTTGTGGAGTGGAACAAGAAAGTGGAGCTGCAGACAGGTGGAAAAGTGAAGACTCTACGTTCAGATAAGGGTGGAGAGTATAAGAGTGATCCGTTTCTGTAATTTTGCCAGGATCACGGCATTAGACGACACTTCACAGTTTGAGAGATACCGCAACAGAACGGGGTGGCTAAGAGATTGAACCGTATCTTACTGGAGAATGTGCGATGTATGATGACGCAGAGTGAATTGTCTAAATCCTTTTGGGCCGAGGCGTTGGTTTATGCGAGCCATCTCGTGAATAGGTTGTCGTGCACTGCGATACAGGGGGAGACTCCGTTGGAGCGTTGGTCTGATTCGGTAGCTAGTGACTATGAGTCGCTTCGGATATTTAGGTGTCCAGCTTATTACCATGTTAGTGATGGTAAAGTGAAACCGAGGGTGAGGAAAGCAGTTTTTGTGGGATTTAGAAATGGAGTTAAAGGCTTCAAGTTATGGGATCCACAGGATAAGAAGATAGTCATTAGCAGAGATGTTACATTTGAGGAGGCATATATGATGAGGCCTCAAGTTCCTCAGCGTGTAGAGGAAGACAAGAGTAGTGAGATATCGCGGTAGGTGGAGGATGATATGACTCCACCCACTCCAGATAGCATTGTATCCATCGAGGCTCCTACAGAGGTGACACTGGGAGGAGATGAGATGACAGCCGAGAAGATAGAGGATACAGTGGATTGTGAGACTCAGGAGCAGGGTCATGTTCAGGAGTCTATTGCAGCGAATAGACCTAGAAGGGTGATTCGTCGGCCAGTTAGGTATAATAATGTCATGGTCGCATATGCATTATCAGTGGAGGTCATTGATAATATGGTTCTATCCACATTCAGGGAGGCAGAGTCTAGCTCCGATTCGATCAGGTGGAGGAAAGCTATGAAGGAGGAGATGCGATCTCTTCAGAAGAACGACACTTGGGAACTTACAAAGCTACCTAAGGGGTAAGAAAGCTATTGGTTACAAGTGGGTATATGCGTAGAAGGAGGGATCTTCTATTTGGGATATTCGGTTCAAAGCCAAATTGGTTGCCAAGGGATATGCACAGCTTGAGGGTACTAATTACAATGAGGTATTTTTACCCGTTGTGAAGCATTCGTCAATTCGGATTTTATTGGCGTTGGTGGCACAGCTGGATTTGGATTTGGTCCAGATTGATGTGAAGACAGCCTTTCTACATGGAGATTTAGAATAGAAAATCTACATGACACAACCTATGGGGTTCAAAGCTGCAGGAAAGGAAGAATTAGTGTGCAAGCTGAAGAAGTCTCTTTATGGATTGAAGCAATCGCCGCGATAATGGTATAAGAGATTCGACGGCTTTATGATTGGCCGAGGGTACACGAAGAGTCCGTATGACCTGTGTGTGTACATGCACAAGCTATAGAATAGTGAGTATATTTATTTGTTGTTATATATTGACGATATGCTCATAACTTCCAGGAATACTTCAGCTATTAGAAAGTTGAAAAAGGAGCTGTCATCCGAATTTAAGATGAAGGACTTTGGAGAAGCAAAGAAGATATTGGGTATCAAGATTAAGAAAGACAGGGTGAAGGGGAGTTTGAAGTTGACACAGAGGAGTTACTTGTAGAAGATGCTGACGAAATTCAATTATGATAGTAATGCCAAGGCGGTGAGTACTCCATTAGCTCCTTACTTTAAGCTATCAGCTAAGATATCACATGTTTCAGTTGAGGACCGTGAATATATGTCCAAAGTTCCATATGCTAATGTTGTGGGTAGCTTGATGTATGTGATGGTGTGTACAAGGCCAGATTTGTCACATGTCGTGAGCACGGTATCTAGGTACATGCACGACCCCGGGAAGGGTCATTGGGAGGCCGTGAAGTGGATTCTACGGTATATCAAAGGTACCGTGGATGTTGGTTTGGTATTCGAGAAGAATGGGAAGAATGGGCAGGACTGTATTGGTTACGTGGATTCTGATTATGCGGGGGATCTAGACAAGCGTCGGTCTACTAGTGGATATGTGTTTACACTAGCAGGAGCACCGGTGTGTTAGAGATGCACACTTCAGCCTACAGTGGCTCTCTCCACTACAGAGGCAGAGTATATGGCGTTGATTGAAGCTTTGAAGGAGGCTTTGTGGTTGCGTGGATTGTTAGAGGACTTGGGGATTGCACAGGAAACCATTCAGGTACATTGTGATAGCATGGCGGCTATCTATTTGGCAAAGAACCAGGTTTACCATGCACGCACGAACCATATTGATGTCAGATTCAATTTTGTTCGTGATGTCTTGGATGAAGGAGACGTCATGTTGGAGAAGATCCACACGAAGGACAACCCTGAGGATATGTTGACCAAAGTTGTTTCAGGTGTCAAGTTTGGTCATGGTTTGGAGCTTTTGAACATTCTTCGATGTTAAGACCTTTGGAGGCTATTTGGGTGAACTACGCGAGGCTTGATTCCTTGGAGAAGAGGATACGTAGGCAGTCTTTATGATGCAGCCGGTTTGGATTAGTTGATTTAGATGGGGGTGAGATTGTTTGGACTCTCGTTCGGTTCCCGACTTGTTGTGGATTGAGTCCGTTGTCGTGAATTAACTTCACGGCGTACTGGACACAACAAGTGAGACATTTGATTGCTTTGGTGTCGGCTCAGTTTTGAAAGAAACTTCGCCCAGGTGGAGAATTGTGGCGTGGGGGCCACCAGAGGAGAAAAGCGTGTGAAGTAATCACGTGATCAGCAACCCAATCTCCACGTGAAAGAGTTGTGAACGTGGAGTGGGGGCCACAACGTGATGTTGGCGCGTGAAGAGAGAAGAAAATATTGACGCGTGAAGAGAAAAGAAACGGCCCACAACCTGAGTATTCTCTGCCCGCAAATAAAGCTATAAAAAGGTTGCCTAGGTTTTTGTTTCGAAAGTGCAAGGAAAAGTTTGCAGAAGGCGACTGTACGAGTGCAAACAGAGGGCGTGCTTTGGCAGCGCGCAGGCAGGGAGAAAAACACAGTGCCGACTTTAAGAGTTTGTGCATCCTTTTGTAGAGAGAGATTAAGAGGGATTTGAGAGTTTGTTTGAGGGTTTTAGTTGTGTGATTGTAAATCCTAGTTGTATTATCTCCCTCTAATAGTAGATCTCCACCCCTCCTTATCCCGTGGACGTAGGTTATTTGCCGAACCACGTAAAATAGTTTTTCTTGCTGTGATTTGTAATAGCTTATAGGTTCCCTCGACAAGTCAGTCCTAGAACTGATGAGAGGAAACGCTGATATCTCACTTTGTTGAGATATTTTGATTTCGGTTCTTATTTCCTTTGTGAAACAGGAATTTCGTTGTGATCCAATCTCTTGTTATGCACCTTGTGCACCGGATGTGCTGCCAAAATTTCCGTTGCGCACAATAATGTGCGTAATGACTGCATACAATTATACATATCATTATCTAAAGAGAAGGGCATGCATCCATGCCTCACTGTCCTCTTCTAACTTATCATATAGAACAAGAACATCAAGTGTTTTTCTTTTTGCACGAGCAATCCCAGAAGACAAACCACATAATACTAAACCTTAAGAAAAATCTTCAATAGTTAGGACACAAGGAAATATGTACACAACACAACGTCTGTTAAAATATGATTGCATACAATTATACATATCATTATCTAATAGAGAAGGGGTAAGCAACCATGCCTCAGTTAACTTACCAAATAGAACAAGGAACACCAAACGTTTTCCTTTTTACACGAGCAATCCCATAAAACAGTCCCATACAGAGATCCTTTGCACTATCGAAGATCTCGATGGATGTTTAAAATACTTACATAAAATGCGAGATTTTAAGGTTAGCTCTCTAAACTACGATCAGAGTCAGATTGTTTCTGTGTACTACTGACTCCATTGTTCATTCTAGCTCGAGCCTCAGCAAACATCCTTTGCTGCTCTGCCAATGCTTCTTCCTCTGTCATCTCAGCACCGCTGAACTTTCCACCCTTGGGAGAGTCCTGCAAATAGCAAATCACATCCAGCAATAAGCAAAATATCGGTATAAATAGGCTTAGATATCTGGTAGTATGTAATGGAGTTTCTCAGCAATAAGCAAAAATATTAATAATAAATCATTCTTTTCATTAAATTAAGCAATTAACCTCAGGTTGGTTAAGGGTAAGGCTTAGAGGAAGGGGGCATAGAGAGAGAAGAACGGAGGGTTTATTTGCAAATTGCCTAACATGAGTTATTTTTTTGGGCAAAAAAATCATAATAATTAAAAAGGAGGACAAATTGATTTTCTTTTGAATTTAGGGGCATTTTCATCACTTTGGGGGCTATGCGGGAGAATTGTTTGGTGTTTAGTAGAAAAAACAAAGTACGGGGGGCTTTCATAGACTCATAGTAAACGCCCAAAGTATTGAAGGGCTTTGTAAATTTACCTTTTTACATAAAGTTATTCTACTTTGTGTTATACAGAATGTATTGTGGAGTGCAATATTTTGTGTAAATAAGAGAAAACTAGTGGAGAAATTTGAAATACAAACCAGGGTATCGAGTTTGTGTTGTTCGTACGCAGCGTAAACCTCCTCGATGTACTCTCCAAAGCCAAGAACCTGATGGAATCATCATATATAATCAGAATAAATTGAGAAACAGTTTAATGATGGGTAAAAAATTCTGGTCAGCTATCTGATCCAGCACAAATTAGATATATTGAGTCCGACAAGTGTTAAACATCCAAACAAATCATAAGATAACCTTCTGTCACACCCCAAACTTAGATTTATTATTATAAAACCTAATTTTGGAGTGGGAGACTAAAATATATATATGTTCAACATATATAACCAACTTTTTCTTTTATTGCTATTTCACATGTGTTACACAACATGCTTCTACTTCTCTAGCTCTATTACAAGAAATGTTCCCAAATGTTTTGCCGCAACAACCCTCTATTCATGCTCCCTCTTGATTTGAAAAAGGTGAATTAATAAAAAGATAAGTTACACTAGCCCAGTGAGATCACCAAAGTATTTTTAAACATTCAATACAAATAAAGGAGTTTTGAATTCACTTATTAAAAAAAAGGAAAACAATTAACAATGCATGATATGTAAATTTCTTCAGTTACCATTTTACCAACCGATATCATCTTATGTCTTCATCCATGATAATACAATAACAATAACAATTTGAGACTTAGACCCCCATAATCTGGATATATGCCGATTAATAATATCAATCAATACCCATTTAACACTGACAGATCCTTTTCAGTATTATTGATCAATAAATGTGGTACTCAGGTGGAATGCAGTATGTCAATGTAAACTAATTGACTATTGTGTAATAATATAATATATATGATAATATATATATATATAATAATAGTATATATATATATAATATATTATATACATTTATATTTTGAGAAATATGGATATGCTTGTACCAAGCACAAAAATTGTGGCTTGGTATGAGGTGTCAAATCCATCGGCACTCAAGTTGACAATGTGGGAACAATTCACGATGGGTAGTGAGTGGATGAGGATGTGACACATCCACTACCAAGCACGAAAGATCTGTTGCTTGGACCAAGCATACCCATATTTCTCTCTCGTCTACTATATATAATATATAATATAAGAGAAGAGAGAGCAAAACTTGTGTCACTTAAGTGAATAGCAAAAACAATGTCACCAAACTTTTATAGCCACATCCATATTCCTAAGGATTCCTTGCATGATAGAAAGTATTTTTATATAATAAAATGAGTGGCTAGGAAGTTTGGTGGAATCAAACGTTAAGTTGATGGGAGTCTTAATCTATATTATATAATATCATATATACATCATATAATTATGATATATATATATATATAAATATATATATATATATATATATATATAATATATAGGTATATTATATGTCAAAGAACCATATTGTCCATAGATAAAACTAACTATAGACCTTTTTTTAGGAGCAAAAATTGTCCTTCCTGACCATTTCATGAAATTCAAGTCATGTGCACATCAAAGCTTATATAATGAGATCGAAAATATGGGTATAGCAAGAATGAGGTAAAAACAAAAGAATTGTTTGCACGAAAGGGAACGTCTTTAACCCTAGACAGGATGAGCTAGCATTCAAATTATTCAAAACGGGTAATATACTTATAGAAGCACAATTGTCTTATTTCTCTTTGTGAAACAGGAATTTCGTTGTGATCCAATCTCTGTTATGCACCTTGTGCCCGGAGTCTCGCCAAAAGATTTCCGCTGCGCACAATAAGTGGCGTAATGCACTGCATACATTATACATATCATATATCTAAAGAGAAGGCATGCGATCCATGCTCACTGTGCTCTTCAACTATCATCATAGAACAAAGAAGCTCAAGTGTTTTTTCTTCTTTGCACGAGCCTCCGCAGAAGAAACACATATACTAAAGCCTAAAGAAAAATTTCAATAGTATGGACACAAGGAATATTACAAACACATACGTCTGTTAAAATTATGATTGCATACAATATACATATCGTTATTAATAGAGAAGGGTAGCAACCGATCGCCCGTTAAATTACGATTGATAATATGCGTTCTATCCACATTGCAGGGAGCGAGTCATAGCCTCCGATTCGATCAGGTGGATGGAAAGCTATGTAAGCGAGAGATGAATGCGATCTCTTCAGAAGAACGACACTTGCGGACTTACAAGCTACCTAAGGGGTAAGAAAAGCCTATTCGGTTACAAGTGGGTATATGCGTAGAAGAGGGATCTTCTATTGGATATTCGGTCTCAAAGCCAAATTGGTTGCCAAGCGGGATATGCGCACAGCTTGAGGGTACTAATTACAATGAGGTATTTTTACCCGTTGTGAAGCATCCGTCAATTCGGATTTTACTTGGCGTTGGGTGGCACAGCCTGGATTTGGATTTGGTCCAGATTGATGTGAAGACAGCCTTCTACATGGAGATTTAGAATAGAAAATCTACATGACACAACCGTATGGGGTTCAAAGCTGCAGGAAAGAGAAATTAGTGTGCAAGCTGAAGAAGTCTCTTTATGGATTGAAGCAATCGCCCGCGATAATGGTATAAGAGATTCGACGGCGTTTATGATTGGCCGAGGTACACGAAGAGTGCGTATGACCTGTGTGTGTACATGCACAAGCTATAGAATAGTGAGTATATTTATTTGTTGTTATATATGTCGACGATATGCTCATAAACTTCCAGGAATACTTCAGCTATTAGAAAGTTGAAAAAGTGCGAGCTCTCATCCGAATTTAAGCATGAAGGACTTTGGAGAAGCAAGAAGATATTGGGTATCAGATTAAGAAAGACAGGGTGAAGGGGAGTTGAAGTTGACACAAGAGGAGTTACTTGTAGAAGATGCTGACGAAAATTCAATTATGATAGTAATCGCCAAGGCGGTGAGTACTCATAAGCTCCTTACTTTAAGCTATCAGCATAAGATATCACATGTTTCAGTTGAGGACCGTGAATATATGTCAAAGTTCCATATGCTAATGTCGAGTGGGTAGCTTGATGTATGTGATGGTGTGTACACAGGCAGATTTGTCACCATGTCGTCGAGCACGGTATCTAGGTACATCACGACCCCGGGAAGGGTCATTGGGAGCCGTGAAGTGGATTCTACGCGTATATCAAGGTACCGTGGATGTTGTTTGGTATTCGAGAAGAATGGAAGAATGGGCAGGACTGTATTGGTTACGTGGATTCTGATTATGCGGGAGATCTAGACAAGCGTCGGTCTACTAGTGGATATGTGTTTACACTGGCATGGAGCACCGCGTGTGTTCAGAGATGCACACTTCAGCCTACAGTGGCCTCTCCACAACAGAGGCGAGTATATGGCGTTGATTGAAGCTTTGAAGGAGGCTTTGTGTTGCGTGGATTGTTAGAGGACTTGGGATTGCAGCAGGAAACCATTCAGGTACATTGTGATAGCATGGCGCTATTATTGGCAAGAACCAGGTTTACCATGCACGCACGCAACCATATTGATGTCAGATTCAATTTTGTTCGTGATGTCTTGGATGAAGGAACGTCATGTTGGAGAAGATCCACACGAAGGACAACCTGAGGATATGTTGACCAAAGTTGTTTCAGGTGTCAAGTTTGTCATGGTTGGAGGCTTTTTGAACATTCTTCGATGTTAAGACCTTTGGAGGCTATTTGGGTGAACTACGCGAGGCTTGATTCCTTGGAGAAGAGGATACGTAGGCAGTCTTTATGATGCAGCCGGTTTGGATTAGTTGATTTAAGATGGGCGGTGAGATTGTTTGGACTCTCGTCGGTTCCCAGACTTGTTGTGGATTGAGTCCTTGTCGTGAATTAACTTCACGGCGTACTGGACACAACAGGAGCACATCTTGATTGGCTTTGGTGTCGCGCCTCAGTTTTGAAAGAAACTTCGACCCAGCGGTGGAGAATTTGTGGCGTGGGGGCCACCAGAGGAGAAAGGAAGTCGTGTGAAGTAATCACCGTGATCCAGCAACCCAAACTCCACGTGAAAGAGTTGTGAACGTGGAGTGGGGGCCACAACGTGATGTTGGCGCGTGAAGAGAGAAGAAAATATTGACCGCGTGAAGAGAAAAGAAACGGCCCACAACCTGAGTATTCTCTGCCGCGCAAATAAAGGCTATAAAAAGGTTGCCTAGGTTTTTGTTTCGAAAGTGCAAGGAAAAGTTTGCAGAAGGCGACTGTACGAGTGCAACGGAGGGCGTGCGTGTTGGCAGCGCGCAGGCAGGGAGAAAAAACGCCAGTGCCGACTTAAAGAGTTTGTGCATCCTTTGTAGAGAGAGATTAAGGGATTTGAGAGTTTGTTTGAGGGTTTAGTTGTGTGATGTAGAACTCCTAGTTGTATATCTCCCTCTAATAGTAAGATCTCCACCCCTCCGTTATCCCGGGACGTAGGTTATTGCCGAACCACGTAAAATAGTTTTTCTTGCCTGTGATTTGTAATAGCTTATAGTTTCCCTCGACAAGTCAGTCCTAGAAACTGATGAGAGGAAACGCTGATATCTCACTTTGTTGCAGATATTTTGATTTCGGTCTTATTTCCTTTGTGAAACAGGAATTTCGTTGTGATCCAATCTCTGTTTTATGCACCTTGTGCACGCGGATGTGCCGCCAAAATTTCCGTGCGCCACAATAATGTGGCGTAATGACTGCATACATATATACATATCATTATTCTAAAGAGAAGGGCATGCATCCATGCTCACTGTCCTCTTCTAACTTATCATATAGAACAAGAACATCAAGTGTTTTTCTTTTTGCACGAGCAATCCCAGAAGACAAACCACAAATACTAAAGCCTAAAGAAAAATCTTCAATAGTTAGGACACAAGGAATATGTACACAACACAACGTCTGTTAAAATATGATTGCATACAATTATACATATCATTATCTAATAGAGAAGGGTAAGCAACCATCTCCAGTTAACATTACCAAATAAACAAGGAACACCAAACGTTTTATCCTTTTTACACGAGCAATCCATAAAACAGTCCATACAGAGATCCTTTGCACTATCGAAGATCTCGATGGATGTTTAAAATACTTACATAAAATGCGAGAT